ATGCCAACAATTCTCAGAATGGTGGCATCTGGGGACTCTTCAGCGAGGCTCAGCGGAGTAACTAACATACCCTCCCTCCTTTTACTCAAATTTAGTCTTATTTGTTTCCGTGACACTACTTCAGGATAGTGTCGGTTAATGAGTGAATGTGTGCTAGTTTCTGCTATATGATCGACATGCCTGCCAACAATTCTCGGTTACAACAATGCATTCACATTGCTCTGCCGTTTGGTAATGACGAGTAGTATCTGTATCTTGCAGATATCCTGTATCTTCACAAACAGCGGCCTGTGTCCATGGAGGAGCTGAAGAAATTGCAGGATGAAAATAAATCACTTCTTCAGGAAATGGAGATACTAGAGATGGAAAGGCAGTATGCGGTGAAAAACTTTCCTGTTAGCAGAAAATAAGTAGTTGGAACCAGAATGTGAAATTTAAGCCATGAGTACAGATATTCCAAGTAATGGATCCAGGTAAAACCCACAAATATTTACTCTGAAAGTTCCCTCCCTCTGATATTTTTTTCATGAACACGCGTCTAAATGTGCATCATTTCCTATTAGAAGAAACACCAAGAAGGTGTGAAGAGTACAGAAGAACTAGGCCAGAACAGACTGTACAGACGAACTAGGCTACAACAGAAGCTCGTACTATGGATCAATGTAAGCTTTCACATCAGTTGATTGACAATTATGTTGTAACTTATGGCTAAGTTCTTTAATTTACTTGTAACCAGGCAACCTGCCGGTCATGACTACTGCAATACAGCTACGCCTGAGTACATAATCTCTACATATGGAGACATGTCTCTTTCTCAAGTTCTTTTTTTTTTGACGGAGCTTTCTCAAGTTCTTGGCGACATCGTAAGTTGACAATCTCCAGGGAACTAGCTATTATTTTTACAAAACAGAGTACTAGATCTCATGTCACGGTACTGTAAGTTACTGATTTATGTGTGACTAATTATCTCCACATAAAGCAATGAAGGGACGTTTTGAACCATCAGCATAAACCAAGTTTGCAATTACTCCGCCGGGAAGCAAAATCTTTCTCTGAATAAGTTATATTCTGAACTTCTTTTTTCTTAACATAGCCAACATAGGCCAGTCTAGGACATATCAAACATAATTTGCTCTCCATTGTGTAGAAGACTGACCGTTCCTGGTGGGATTTGCGGATGAAGGATGCAGTGGCAATCGGTTTATCATGGGATGCAAAGTGCTATGCAATACATTGGGAAGCTTATTCATGTATAAGGAAGCTCTGACATCAGGAAAGTTCGTGACTCGCTATCCCTCCAATTGAAAAGGTACAACTTTTTAGAAATAGTAACAACGTGCAGTTTTTGCACATAAACCACCTTGTAAGTTTAGTTTGTATGTTGCCTGCAAATCAAGTTGGTAGTTTTTCTCATAGTAGTTGCCTAGTTAATAAATGGAAAAAGATGAGTTGCAAATCCCTTTTATAAATTATGTAATTTTTCCATCCTAATAAATTATCGTGAGTTCTCTTTACATTCTATTGCTTTTAACATCTTTTTAATAAAAAATGAAAAGCATTAACTAACTAATGGGCATATTTGCATATTATTGATTTTGATCAATTATACAATTTCACTGAATTATACAACCTGTGAGAGATTTAGATCACCTTTCTGCAACCATCATATGTGCCTATGTTTCTTATTACATCTGAAAAAACTCATATCTGAAAGGATATGCAGAAAAGATGGAACAAATATTTTGATCTACAAGCTATAGCTGTATGTACTGCTTGCTTCAAAATCAAGGACACAATCTTGTGTGAACTTGTAATTCACATTATGTGGTTCCATAGCAAGCAAACTTTGTTCCTCCTCTGGATTGGCATCTGCTTGAGCCCACGGGTGGTTGTGGTATCTCCTCAGCATCTCCAACCTCTCTGCAACCTCCTTCATCGTTGGCCGCTCCTCTCCACTCATGTTCAAGCATCTCATAACGAGGTGTGTGATCTCTTCGAGCGCTTTGATTGTCATCTCGTCCCTCACTTGGCTGTCCAGAAGGTCTTGGTGTTGGCCTACCTTCACTGCCATCATGAAGCATAAAACAAGGCTTCTATCTTCCTCCGGCCCGTCGAAGTACAGTGCCTTTTTCCTTGTCAGAAGCTCCAATAGGACAACGCCAAAGCTGTACACATCACTCTTATCAGTCAGCCGGCATGTCATTAGGTATTCTGGGTCAAGGTAACCGCAAGTTCCCTGCACCAATGTTGCCATCTTGGCCTCATCAGTTGGTGCCAGTTTTGATGCTCCGAAATCTGAAACTTTTGCTGTGAGCTTGTCATCCAACAGAATGTTTGCCGTCTTGACGTCTCCATGGAGAATCGGTGGCGAGGCTGAAGAATGCATGTATGCCAGTGCCTCGGCTGCCTCTACAGCTATTCGAAGGCAGGTGTTGAAGCCTGTATCAGAGTCAAGGCCCCTACTACCATGGATGTAGTGGTAGAGCGTACCATTTGAGACGAACTCGTAGACCAACATTGGCACTTCTACTTCGAGGCAGCATCCAAGCAGCTTGACGACATTCTTGTGGTTGATCTGGGAGAGGATGAACATCTCCCTCGCGAATTCCTTGGTAGGGACCTCTTCCGTCGTCTTTGACTTCTTCACCGCCACCACTGTCTTGTCCTCAAGGACACCCTTGTAGACAATACCGTGCCCTCCATGGCCAAGAACACGGCCGGCTGCGAAGTTGTTGGTCGCTTTCTCGAGCTCTTCCTTGGTGAAGATCTTGAAGCCCCCACCCCCTTTGCTGGTGTCACTGTAGTTACGTATCTGCTGCTGCAGGAATACGCCTCCATTTAGCTCAAAGAATTTATGCTTTCTTCTGATAAGTCTCCTTTTCTGGAGCCCCAAGTAGAGCCAGAAGGACATGAAAAATGGCAAGAACACACCAACGCTCACTCCTGAATACGACATAGCATTACAGTTAGGTTTCGAAAACAAGACTGCAAGAGCAACCCATTTGCAGGATTGTCTGCTTACCTGTTACTACTTTTAGGGCCAATGTGAAATTGTCCTTTGGCCGGCAACCGTTCTCTGTCGTAGCATCTCCACTAGTCCCCGGAGGACATTGGCAAGTGTGGCTTCCCAAAGTATTTGTGCAGATGCCGTAGCATGATTGCTCTTCTTTGCGTTTACACTCGTCGATGTCTTCCATTTGGCAAAACAATTCATAAGATGAAGTGGCAGAAGGAGCAGGAAGCAGAACAGTAAAACAGGGCATGGGTGTATACCTCTGCATCCGTCTTGTAGATAGGGGTTGCCTTCGTACCCCTTGGAGCAGCTGCACCGGTACCCAGCGCCATCCCCGGAGTCGATACAATCGCTGAGCGGGCTCTGGCATGCATACTCAGTTGTGTTGCGCCTGGCGGCGCTGCAGTTGCCGACGTTCCGGATCGCCCAGTCGAGGATGACAGGCACGGCGAAGTCTTTGGTCCAGTTGAGGTACTCGCTGTCACCGGTGTATCGTGTACTTAACCACTTGGTCTCCACCAGGAATACATACCGGCAGGTCGTTTTGTTGCTGTAGAAGGCTATGTCTCTGTCTCGGTGCTCCTTCGTGAAGTCAAGCAGGAACGGCTCGTAGTAGTCGACAGCGGGGGGTATCGCGCTCTGGCAGCATGCCACGCCTGTGCAGGACCCCGGCGAGGTGAACTGCTGTGGCCGGCACACAGCCATGCAGCCACTGACATAGTAGCCAAGAACGTCGATGAAGTAGCCGAGGCTGGAGCAGCCGAGCGTGACGAGCCGGTTCTTGGCCTGGGAGAAGAGGTAGTGGCTGCCAACAAGTGGCACGAACGTGGCGCCGCTTTGGCTGACGAGACGCCCCCTGCTGTCGTAGCATCTACGTGTTGCCCTCAGGTGGGCCCGGGCCTCGCTGGTGGCGACGGACAGGCCGGTGATCCGCATGCCATAGCCTGTCACGGTGAGCCGCGGCGTTGAGCGGGAGTCATTGCACTCGAGCTGGAAGCCACCTCGGCCATCATCGCGGAAGCAACCGGCGCCGATGCCAAAGGGGTAAGGGATGGTGATGTTGCCACACTTGTCGCGGCAGCCAGGCCGCACAACCTGGCGCGGCGGTTGCTGCCGCTCCTGAGCCGAGACTCGAGCCACTGGCAGTAGCAGCAGCAGCAGCACAAGTGGCATGGCCAATGCGATCGCCATCCTTGCTCTTCTGGTCTGTTCAGGGGCTAGCTGCTGAGGAAGTGCAAAGTGTCAGGTACTGAAGAATCATGGAAGTCCATATATGCGCACGGATGCTGAAGAATCTGTTCACTAGCTAGGACCAGGTCAATTACCCAGCAGGCCAGCACTAGTTAATGGTGTTCGCATTATGCTTTATCGGAGTGCTGACAGCAAACACACCTACCGGAGGAGGGCTTTTAGTCAATGGCAGAACTTGTTTAACCAGGCAGCCCTTGGCAGAGCCACACATGCCGCCACATGTCAGTACAAAGAATTTCTGATGATTATTCTGAAATTTTGGTCTGTTAATGCTAGTGGAGCTTGAATTGGTTAATTGCACTGCCGGCGATCATTGGCTCTTTCATTATCTGTGCAATTTAGCTGACTAGGATTACTACAGCCACCTAATCCAATCCAGCATATGAAACAGAAACTAGCATCGCCATCTAGTTTGTTGTGAGAATGTTTTCTATTGGAACTTCTTCTTGTGACAATCTTTCATCCAAAGAAAATCGTATATAATAATATAGAGAAATGTGCAGAAAGAATGATTTATTATTATATTATTATTTACGAGCTAAAGCTGAGTTTACCGCTGCTTCCTTTTAATATCCAATCCAGCATATGACATCACTTGAGACGAACACCGGCTCACTTACAAAACTAGCATGTTCGTTTATTTTTATTTTTTTTTGTGAGAACATTTTCTGTTGTAACTTTTTGTTGTCAGAATCTTGAACAGGGTTCGTTTTGTGTGGCTCTGCATATGACATCAGCATATGACATCACTTGAAACGCAGTCAACCCTGTTCAAGTCTCGTTTGATGTTTCTCTGAAATCGTTTATGCCATGACCAATCATCATGCTTTCCCTTATCGAAGATCATCAAGTTTCTGACCTGACCAGATCAAGCAAAGTGCACGCTGTTTCTTCCATTACTACAACAACTGTTGCTGCCTTACAATTATTGAACTAAAGCGGCATCATAAAGCATAGCCGATGCTGGCACGCTGCATTAAAGTTATTGAACTATATTACTTAAGCATCCTTGGATCCTTTGATTCCCCAACACCTTTCACAGGGCTAATGAAAGTTCAGGGCACGCCACGCTCGCTCTGTGACGTCGCAACTTTTTGTTGTGAGAATGTTTCCTCCTTCAGTATTTACAACTCTAAGCTGCTCATACTGAGAACGCAGATCCAACTAATTCGTACACTCACTTAACCTTTTGGTAAGAACATTTGTTGCATGCATAAGCTTCATGTTTCTTCTCACTGACCTGGATTGGAATAATGAACATGAACTCCTGCCTGTCAGCGAGCAGAAATATCTCTGCCCCACTGAAAAATAGACCAAAAAGACCGACCGTATACGTCTATACGGAGCGGCTAGACTCGGCTCGCATTTGCGCTGCGTGTAATGCCTCAACGTCTAGACGACGCTCGTATAGACTCGGCTCGCATTTGCGCTGCGTGTGTGCCTCAACGTCTATACGTCGGTCTTTTGCCTCGCAAACCCGATTAGCCTGCGCTAACTGGCCCGTGATTGCTTCCTCGGCTCTACGTAGGCCCACAGCAGCCTAATTAGGCCGCGCACACGAGCCGTGTGGGACTATTAAGCAGCTATAAGTGCACGCGGCCTAATTAAGCAGTAAGCGCACGCTTGACAGCCCAGCGGCCGGTCGCGGCCCGCTAGGTTGCTGTCCTCCTCGGTGCAGGTCGCCGGCGTGTGACCGCGAATCGACAGGGACTCCATGCATGGCCCCTGCCCGTCAGTGAGGAGAGATATTTCTGTCACTCTGAATGAATCTCCGATCCTGTCAAGTGTGCACACAGGCTCAACGAATGGTTGCAGGTACGAAATGCAATCATTTCGTACGAATGGTTGCTTGAAACCGGTGAACTGGTGCTGGGTTACCTTCGTCTGTTGTGTGTATCTTGCGGTGCACTGTCCTATTTTATTTTATTTTTTGAAAAGGAGGAAAGCCCTCGCCTCTGCATCGGAATGATGCATGCAATCATTTTATTAACAAAAACACGCCAGAGTTTAATTAGGTTGCAATTTAACAAGTGCAAACTTTCCCCTCTTCGGGCACAACTTAAGCAGCATGGGGTTCATGGTCAACTATGTCTGGTTTGACGTTTTCTGAAATCGTTTATGCCATGACCAATCGTCGTCCTTTCCCTTATCGACAGATCACCACGCCGACGCTTTCTCAAGAACCGAACTAGATCAAGCACAATGCTCACTGTTTTATTCCGTTACTATGCCTTGTTCAAAAATTCGTCCGATTAACCAGTTAACTTGTCGATTAATCCCTACTCGTAGGGTCACCGAATAGCGGATAAACTGATAAATTGTCCGATTAATTGATTAAATGGCCGATTAACTTGCCGATTAGCCTATTAATCCCCTACTCGTCAGCCAACCGAGCAGCTACCAGTTAACAATTTCCTCAACAATGTTACTATGTACAGCTTATGCTGCAACCTTACAGTTACTGATCGAAGGTGGTACCACACTTGGTAGATCAACGCAGATAGTAACTAAACATAGTGTTAAACATGTTAATGTGGAGGCGTCAAGGGTTCCTGTCTTGCGCCTCACGCCTGAATATCTAGGGATAGATCTCCTGTCCTATTACAACTCCCTTTATCCCGATCTCCTCTCTCTCTTGTATTCTGTCCGGTTACAACAACGGACTGCCTTGTACTTCACGTTTACAATCTATATAAACATCGCGGGCTCCCGATCAGGGGGTTGAGACGCTTCATTATTGCTTTCATGGTATACAGAGCAGGTTTCTTCCACCACGTCTAGCCTCTCCTCATCGATCTCCCAAAACCCATCTCGCTGCCATGTCTACCTCTGCCGCTCCGGTCTCCTCCGGCCTCAACTGCAACGTCTCCGAGCCGCTCACCCGGACGAACTATGTCCTCTGGCGAGCCCAGGCGCGATCCCAGATAATGGGCGCCGGCCTGTATGGCTACATCGACAAAACCACGGCAGAACCTCCCAAGATCATCACCACCAAGGACAAGGACGGCAAGGATCAGGTGATCACCAACCCTGCCTATGCCCCCTGGTTAATTCAAGATCAACAGATCGTCGCATATCTCCTTCGCAATCTCTCCAAGGAGGTGCTGGTTCGGGTTGCATCGATGGAAACATCACATGCGATTTGGACGGCCCTGAGCAACATGTTCTCCGCTGTATCGCTCTCCCGCGTCAACAACATACGGGCCTCCCTCACCAACGCCCAGAAGGGCAACCAGCCGGCGGCAACCTACTTCGGGCACATGTGTGCTCTCTCTGATGAGCTTGCGGCAGCAGGCAAACCGATCGGGGAGGACGAGCTGGTGTCGTTCATCCTCGCGGGGCTTGACATGGAGTATCAGCCCATCATCTCCGCCTTGGACGCACGTACTGATCCAGTCACCATCGAGAACCTCTTCGCCATGGTAGCCAATTTTGACCAGCGCGTCGAGATGTTCCATGGGACAGGCGCTGGCAACTTCAAGTCCTCCGCCAACATTGCTTCTCATGGCCGCCAGGGACCCAACAAAGGCTCCCGTGGTCAGCAAAAGGGTGGTGGTGGTGGCGGATCTTGTCCAGGTGGCAGTGGCGGTAGCGGCCACAGCGGCGGCGGCGGCTACAACAATTTTGGCTACAATCCTAGCGGCTACAACAGCAACAATGGTGGCAGCAGCCACTATGGTGGTGGTGGTGGCGGTGGCCATTATCACCAGGGAAACAACAGCGGCGGCTACCCTCCTCGACGCAACAGCAGAGGGCGCAACAACTTTCAGGGGTATGAAGGTCGTTGTCAAATTTGCAAAAAAAAACTAACCATATCGCCAAAGATTGTGATTGGCGTTATGCTGATGACGCATCCCAAAAGAAAAAAGTTGCTGCTGTAGCTGATGCATCATATGGCGTCGATACCAATTGGTACTTAGACACGGGTGCAACTAATCACATCACCGGAGAACTCGACAAGGTGACGATGCAAGAAAAATACCGCGGCCACGATCAAATTTACACCGCAGCAAACGGTGCAGGTATGAAGATTAGTCATATTAGTCAATCAATTATCGAAACTCCACATAAAAATCTAGTTCTGAAAGATATCTTGCATGTACCCAATGCTTCCAAAACTCTTCTTCCCGTCCATCGTATTGCTCTTGATAATAATGTATTTCTTGAGTTTCACCCATTCTTCTTTTTGATCAAGGATCAAGTCACGAAGAGAGTTCTCCATAGGGGTACATGTGTGCAAGGACTCTATGCGCTGCTTCCTCAATATTGTCAGTTCAACAAACAAGTCTATGGTGCCATCAAGCTTTCTGCTGAAAGGTGGCACAGTCGTTTAGGTCATCCCTCGTTTGCTATTGTTCATCAAATTCTTAGTAAAAATAAACTCCCAGTTGTTGGTGAGCGAAATTTAGAAACTATTTGTGATTCTTGTCAAAGAGCAAAAAGTCATCAGTTGCCTTATCCTATTTCTACTAGTGTGTCTACTCAGCCATTGCAACTTATTTTCTCTGATGTTTGGGGTCCGGCACCCACCTCCGTTGGTAGACACTCTTACTATGTGAGTTTCATTGATGATTATAGCAAATACACCTGGATATATCTTCTTAAAAAACGATCTGACGTCTTCCAAGTTTTTCATAACTTTCAAGCACTTGTTGAACGGAAGTTTGATCGCAAAATCCTTGCCGTGCAATCAGACTGGGGTGGTGAATATGAGAAGCTTAATTCTTTTTTTCAAAAGATAGGAATTTCTCATCACGTGTCCTGCCCGCATGCTCATCAACAAAACGGCTCCGCTGAACGAAAACATCAACACATTGTTGAAGTAGGTCTTGCCCTCCTAGCTTCCGCCTCTATGCCTTTAAAATTTTGGGACGAAGCGTTCCTCACGGCAGTACATCTTATCAATATGTGGCCTAGTCGCACTATTGCCAATGAAACCC